TGGTTAGACCCGTACCTCCACTCTTTCCTATCCTGAGCTAATCTTCGCATTTCCCTTAAACTAGAACAACCCACATCCTTAACTATTTGCGAACACTAATCTAATCTAGGTCTACCTCTACCCCTCCTAACTCGCCTATTTCTTATTGACTTCCACAGAGTCCTCTGTTCTCCTATTCTTTCTAATACCTCTTCATTTCTAACCTTTCGCCTATAACACCACATTTCGAAAGCTGCTAACCGTTGCTTCTAATCTTCTAATTCTAATCTATCCATCTCTACTTTTAAATTTTCTAATTTCTCTACATGCCTCATTGTCCTAACATTCCACGCTCCGACTCGTGAAATATTGCTTCTATCCCTATTGCACTTATTGATGACATCCCCAGAGGACGCCATCATTTCATATGTCTACAGTACAAAAATTACTAATGCTTGCACATAGGCTTGATAATGGCTGATCTGACTAACTCGTCAACGAGGTGTAGTTAGATGAAATTAGGTTATGGTATGACAAGGAAGCTTATGTAAAGTATGTGAAGGCAACAACGGTACGTATCCGTTCAAATTTGGATGGGTTCAACTAACAACCTTGTAGTTTCATAATGTTAAATCCATTTTGAGGAAAAAACCGAACTGAAAGAAAATTAATACGTATATGCCACCATTTTCCTCAAAAATCAAACTTAGTTAACTCCTTCGAAAATGCTCCACAAGAAAATAACTTTTCCACCCCATTACCGAGATGTTCATAATTCATATTAGTTCCCTCCTCCACGTGCCTGTAAATACTCTAATGGAAAATAAGAAAAGATTGAACAAGAGAATAAATCAGACCGAATCCGACATGGGTCCTGGACCTGGTGTTAAAGATCATTAATTCCAATTTAACATCCGGCACCGCTGTTGTCATTGTTCCGTCCAACGTTAATTAACAGCGCAAATCAAACAACCCCGCGTTTACAAGGCATATCCCAGACACTCAAAACAAACATGTGTTTGCCAGGCAAGTATCCACGTTGGCTTCAACTCCTATTAGTGAACCGGAGGTGTGATGGCCGCTGGCGCCCTTTTCCCCAAGAAGATTAATTACCTCCCGCTGCGATGAATATCTGAAGTAGGTACGTCACAGTGCGGAAAATTGTGTACGACAGTTTAAATAAAAGTAAATCTCGGCTGTTATGTGTATACTGACGAGGCAAACATTACGTCAAACGACGTAACTGACCCAGATACACGTTTATGAGGAATGTTGCAAATGAATAGCCATTAGGATACCCTAGATACATCAAAAAGGACTAAAATCGGACTCTTAAGAGATTAGTCTGCTTCAGTCATAGGGCCAGTCTGACTGTTTATCAGTCAAACAAAGAATTAACATCGTAAACTTTATGTCAAACGGGCTGGAAATTGATAACTGGGAACCGGAAGGAATTGCAAACTTTCTGGTGAGGAATACTTTTCGTTGGGTATGGAACATGGATAGTAGACGCCGCGGAAAGGAAAAATGTTTAAGGTACCGGGATAGAAATAGGTGGAAATGAAAAAGTATTAGAAACAGTAGAAGAAAAGAAGATGTTATTGAAATCAATAAAAATGGATTGGTGGGACACACAAGAAATTCGAAGATTGGCACCTGATAGGAAGAATTACAACACCATTAAACGCGTACACACACGTACGTACAAAAAGTATGTCGGAGTAGCGCAAAAACGTCTGGTATTTGGCATACTTCATTTGCAGCGATCATACACGGTCATGAATGTTATTAGCATGTGTAGCCAACCAAAAGTCGATATGCAGCAATAGAAATGTATGTTGTCGTTATTACCGCGTTTTTTATCGTCAGTTAAATCGACAAGCTTGTCGTTATAACTGATCTTAAATGCAAATCTTCAGTTGCGTTTAAATTTTATTATCTAAACCAGTGTTAACTAAACGCTCAGGTAATTACTGCCATAATTTAGAAAATCGCTAAAAATAAATGTAGTAGAGACTGTCTACTGTGAAAGAATGTATTATAAAAGTCAAGTGTCAGGCAGCCAGCGGTGATACCTATTACAAAGTTTCCATACTTTTCATTTTTATTTTGTCTCGTCCCGTGAAATAGTTTGTGCATTGAACCTTTTGACCTTTAACTGTTATACTTTAATAGAAAATCAGACACTAAAACTAACTTCAGAAAAATGCTGCATTAAAAGCTAATGAACATTCGCAAAATGGGCTATTAAAAGCCTGAGTTGATAAAATGCATACTTTGTTGTTCTTAGTATAAATACAGCGCTTAAAACTGAGATTGAAGCACATTCTTTTGGGTCAAATAAAAAACAGTAGTCGTAAAATTAACTGCACCAGCTATTAAATTTCATCCAGTTCTTTATAAGAAACAGTTTTGTTATAATCTGCATTGTTATTATTTTTGTGTTAAATAATATTGATTATGTATATACTCATGTTTTAAAGAATATATAATTGATCAAAAATTAGCGAGTCAAATAAGCCAGGACGTAAAATTGTTTAGAAATATAAAATAAAAAATTGAACAAAATCGGGTCCCTTCACAAAAAATAAAATTACTTTTATGTTCAGTTGATTGGTAGGACATCTTCCTAGGCATTAAGGGTACTTAGAGACATATTAGAAGCAGAAACAGGAGTTAAGAGGAGTAAAAGTAGACCTAGATTAGATTACTGTTCGCAAACAGTTAAAGAAGTGGGTTTTGGGGAAATGCGAAGATTAACTCAGGATAGGAAAGAGTGGAGGTGCGTGTCCAAATAGACTTAGGACTGACGATCTTACGATGATGATGATTAATGATAAATCAACCTGATTCCTTCTCACCACCGATTACTTTAAATTAATGAGGAAAAATGTGTTGCTGCTGCCATGCTCTCGCCGGGAATCGAACCCGGGCTCCTCGCTTTACGTACCAGTAGTCTTACCGCTACTAAAAGTAAAAGAACTTTCTTAATGTATTTATAACCATTTTAATAATGAGGGTTTCAAAAAAAAACATTTGCCATTTAGCGTCAGTAACTTTATGTCGATGTACTATAAAAACTTTTAATCTATACATTTACTTACAAATACGTTTATCTCTAGCTAATGTTGAAGACATGTCTGCATTGATGTACGTTACAAATAAACTTGGATAGGTTTCCATTATCGATTTTAAGTAAAATTCCCAAGCATCTGATGTCTTACTTTATGCACCTTTACATTTTGTCTGATTTTATAGATAGAAACAGTTTTCAGGAAGTGCAAAGATTAGCTCAAGGTAGCATGAAGTAGAGGTAATGTTATTAAATATTATATTAGTAATTTTAAATATCGTCGAAATCGATTATCAGAACGTACAGTTTCCAATATTTTTAATGCAGTTTTAATGTTACATTTTTAGGTAATGTATGCTCGTTTATCTAATCCCGATATCCGTATGTAACAACACTGGCGTCATGTTTCGGTTAAATCGAATTTTCCATTTCCATTCAAATCCTTAATTTCCTAGTATTAGGGGCAGACAATAAAGCTGGGGCATTGTGGCAAATATGGGATTCATTTCCGATCACAAATCTGGCAGTAAAAAGGATACAAATTCGACTCGAACGAGGTTACGACAAAAGGAAATTTCAAAAAGTAATTTTGTAACTACGTCTCCAAACGACGATACATAGTCGTTATGAAAATAAACTTACTGGATCTATCTCAAATGATCATCTCTTTAAAGGAATTATTACATAGGCGAATAAAACAATTCGAAGTGGTCTGTATTCTGATTTTGATCTTTTTGGATCTCATCAGCGGGTCGCAGGCAGCCCCGACAGAACACAGACCAACTTTTACCTGCTCTCTTAACAGCGCGTATTAGAAAATACCACAAATAGCGCGGTAAACGCCATCTGTAGCACGATGCTACATTTTAGGATTACGTATGCTCCAACAAGATCCATTTAAATATATGGATATCTACTTGTTGTAACAAATCTCGGCGTAGCTAACCTCAACATGATAGGCACGTTACCTTAATCGAATAAAACAATTCGAAGTGGTCTGTATTCTGATTTTGATCTTTTTGGATCTCATCAGCGGGTCGCAGGCAGCCCCGACAGAACACAGACCAACTTTTACCTGCTCTCTTAACAGCGCGTATTAGAAAATACCACAAATAGCGCCGTAAACGCCATCTGTAGTACGATGCTTCATTTTAGGATTACGTATGCTCCAACAAGATCCATTTAAATATATGGATATCTACTTGTTGTAACAAATCTCGGCGTAGCTAACCGCAACATGATAGGCACGTTACCTTAATCGAATAAAACAATTCGAAGTGGACCTTGCTGGAGCATACGTAATCCTAAAATGTAGCATCGTACTACAGATGGCGTTTACAGCGCCATTTGTGGTATTTTCTATTACATAGGTAATTGATATTCAATGGTCTGTTGATTCATAAATTGCCATGAACATATCGTAACTTTATTAAATGATTGTGTACAGACTAATTGGTTAACATTCCAATTAGTTATAACTAAATAAGCACCGAAGAAGTTTCAAATGGTCAGTAATTTAGAGACAGAAGACCAGAATCCATTTGCAATGAAGTTGCAAAAGTCAGTCAGTTATAGTTCGAATTCAAAACGATAGAAAGGGAAAAACCAAGCGATAAAGGGTGTGATATAGTAGCGAACAGGTGATTAGTTAATAACAGTGGTGTTAACCAAAGAATCATCGATTAAATAAATTAATGAGAAAGGTATTTTATTATAAACGCGACATTGTAGTTATGGCTTACGTTCATACGTTCACCCTATCTAGCTGATGGAACCTACAACTCTTAGGTGTAACTTGATTTGTCAAATATTTGTGGGGAGAGACAACAACATTTCAATATCACACAACTCTTCATAAGGTTAATCCGATGCTTCTTCAAATCACTGTATTTATGATTAACAATATTACCTATGTTAAATTTGCTTAGTTAAGATTATCCGTTCTTACCTTATTATTATGACTAATTTCATAACCATCTGGTTTGCATTCATGAGATCGTATGAGATAAATCATTTTGTTCCGTTTAAGGAAGGATTTAGTAACGTCAGGGCCAAAGTAGGTGCCCGCTCCTCTAAGTCCATTTGGAATGCATCCGTCATTCGGTTGAGGATCGCTCCACAGAATGTCAAAAACCTGCAAAAGAACGACAGCGCTGTAACCACCTAAGAATTCAACGAAAATATTCTCAAATAAATGAGGTCATGTTGCGAGTTGGAAGCTGGCGCTTTGGGTATTATTAAATTCGAAATTTAAGAGCAGTTAGAAAAATTTAGAAATTTCTAATTTTTCATAGTAACCTTCTGAGACAAAAGAAACCATATTTTCCAATAAGGGTAAGTAAGAAAAGAGAAAGCGTGCTATTCAATCAATAAAAAAAAAAAAAACTTTTGGGTGTTTCATTCCTACCAGCCAGTAATGCTGGTGGGCGGGCAGTCCCTCCGGACTATGCCGGAAGGTAGGGCGGAAGGCCCTCTTCAGCCTGCTTTCAGGAATCGTGGGAATGGGTGGGTGGTGGTTCGGGTGAGAAAGATGAGACGGACGAAATGAAGACAGAAGAGAATGGAATGAAAGATTATATGTGGAATATTACTGCGTCAGCATTTGCCTAAGTGATCCAAGGAAACCACAGAAAAACTTGGACCGAGGCAGACGGACCCAGAATCGAACCGAATGCTAAGCAATGGTCTAGACCTCTAGGCCATGCCGCTCGGTATTCAATCAATGCTACCTGTACCTATCTGGTAATCTTGATATTGAAGAGCATGACGCATTGACATATGTATGGGAAGATTATAAAGAGGTTTCCCTAACTTATACGGGAAGATTTTAGCGAAATTAGCGAGTTAGGTCGTCATTTAAGTATACAAATGTAAACAGTTTGTAAGAACGTTTGTGTTCTTGGACAGAAATTTTATCGGATCGCGATTTCGATATTCCATCCGAAATAACTTAGTTGTAGCAAATAGCCCCTAGATGACGACACATTGCTCTGTTTGGATATTAAATAAACAGTTTGATTGGTGGTTTTGCCATATTGACCGATATGATGTGATTACAATCCAAGTTTCTGCTCAGTGATTAACCGAAGGTTAATTAAAATTTGGTTTTGCTTGTGGCGTCCAACGACGTTGTCGAAACTTGATTTCTAATACGATCATGTTTTTGTTAAGAATTGATTACGTGACCAAATCAACGGGAATAATGCTACTACTTACTTGTTTCCATTCCACTTTGTCGATTAATTCAGACGCCTGTCCCGAACCAAGCTCGACGATTGGAGGACGAAGTAGCGAAACATACTAAAAATAAAGGAACGACTTTTATTTACAAAACTAGACAACTTTTCCCACTTTTACATAATTAAAGGCAACGAAATGTAATTAAGAACGAATCCTACGATCTTTTTGTTTCTGATTAGTTTTGGTTTTCCAAATATTAAACGAAATATCTGAAATGAGAAACTTGAAGCTACAAAACAATATTCGGATAAATAGGAAATGTCATAGAAAATACGACAAATGGCGCTGTAAACGCCATCTGTAGTACAATGCTACATTTTAGGATTACGTATGCTCCAACAAGGTCCATTTAAAAATATGGATATCCACTTGCTGAAACGAATCCCGGCGTAGCTCACCTCAACGTGGTAGGCACGTTACCATAATCGAATAAAAAAATTCGAAGTGGTCTGTATTCTGTCGAAACTGCCAGACGCGGATCGCGATTTAGATCTGTTTGGATCTCATCAGCGCGTCGCAGGCAGGTCCGACAGAACACAGACCAACTTTTACCTGCTGTCTTAACAGCGCGTTTCAGAAAATACCACAAATGGCGCTGTAAACGCCATCTGTTGTACAATGCTGCATTTTAGGATTACGTGTGCTTCAGCCTGCGATGTGCTGATGAGATCCAAACAGATCGAAATCGCGATCCGCGTCTGGCAGTTTCGACAGAATACAGACCACTTCGAATTTTTTTTTATAGGAAATGTCATATTTTCGACAAATTTTGAGGGAAAAATAAAAACACTTTTGCAAAGTTCAATTATCATTAGTTGACCTCGTCCTATTATTAAAGGCTATTTCTATTTGTATTCTGTAAAATATTTACCTAGACGTTCTCGCTCAATTGTTTAAAGTCGTGTGTAAATGCCTATATGTTATATACAAAATATGAAATTCAATTGTTAACACAGCTCAACCATCAATGTCAAGCAGGCTGACATACCAGAGCGCAATGTATTTAACATGAAAACTTACTCTGCGAATTAAATACGAATGTAGCGAAGCGGTGCATCCCGGCGTTGTTAGCGTCGTTATGTACTCCGTATTATACATATAATATGATTCTGAAATATTCAATTACCTTTCCTCTGTCTAAACTTCTTATGAGATCCAAATCAGTGTTATCCGATATTCCTCCATGTACTATAAGGACTTTGTTATTTACTATTGTTCCTAGTGGCAGCCATCGATACACTGTTTCGATTAGCTTCAGCAGCTTCTCCGAATTTCTCTACAAAAGATGAGAGAAAAAATTATCTTGAGAGAAACAAATTATATTCATTAATACTGAAGTTCATTCTTGAGAAATATCAAGTGGAACAAAAAGTTGACCGGCAGGTTTAGAATGATTGGATAAATGGAAATTGGAATCATCTAAATTTGAAGATTTATCTTCCTCAATGTATAGGGTTGTTCGGAAAGTCATTTCGTTTTTTTTGTGGAAATGAAAGACAGTTTTCGTATAATAAACAAATACTTTATTAAATTATATATTGACCGTTCTGGTCCAACACCTTTTGTCATCTTTCTGGTAGTAGCATAATTCCACGCTCATAAAATTTTTGGTCTTTGCTGGCAAAAAACTGATCGAGGAGGTTTTTGACCTCCTCATTTGAGGTGAAGGTTTTACCGTCTAAAAAATTTTGGAGTGACCGGAACAAATAATAATCCGATGGTGCCAGGTCTGGAGAATATGGTGGGTGTAGCATTGTATCCCATTCAAGCTGTAAAAGCTTTTGGCGAGTGACCAAACTTGTGTGAGGTCTCGCGTTGTCTTGGTGAAACACTACACCTTTCCTGTTGATTAGTTCTGACCTTTTCTGTTGAAGTGCATCATTCAGTTTGTCCAGCTGATGACAGTAGACTTCCGAATTAATCGTTGTGTTATCCGGTAAAAGCTCAAAAAAAACGATTCCTTTAAAATCCCACCAAACAGACAGCATCACCTTTTTTTGGTGAATATCGGCTTTGGAAATGGTTTGAGCCGGTTCATCTTTTTTGCTCCATGACCTCTTGCGTTTGACGTTGTTGTATACAACCCATTTTTCGTCCCCAGTGATGATGCGCTTCAAAAACGGATCATTTTCGTGACGTTTGAGAAGCGAATCGCAGACGTCAATGCGGCGACACAGATTTCTCTCTGTGAGAACATGGGGAACCCATACATCGAGCTTCGAGGATAATCCCAGGCCTTTCAAGTGGTCATAAACTGTTGAATTTGATAAATTTAACCTCAATCCGATCTCACGTGTTGTTATTCGCCGGTTCACATCAACTAATGCCTTTATCGCGTCTTTATCAGCTTCAACCGGCCTTCCCGAACGTGGTGCATCTTCGACATCAAAATTGCCGGATCGAAATTTAGCGAACCAGTTCTGGCACTGGCGTACTGTCAACACACCTTCTCCATACACATCAGTCAATTTCTTTCTGGCTTGAACAGCATTTTTACCCTTTCTGTAGTAAAACAGTAAGATATGTCGAAAATGCTGCTTATCGCTCTCCATATTTAAAAGGGCACCAACCAAAAACTACTGCGTAGAATTAATTGGAATTTTTCACACACAAGCCTTGCTATATGAGCTCTCAAAGCATATAAAAATTATACGGCTTAAATGTGAAGTTGGGTGCAAAAGAATACAATTAAATCCTCTGTCGGGAAAAAACGAAATGACTTTCCGAACAACCCTATAGAAGACAATAATGTCGCACCTAGTTATAAAATTATTCTTTAAAATAGTAACCGTCTGGGACAATAAAACCCTCAGTTCGCATCTCCACTATTTTGGGGGTAATCTTTACATTTCTCGAAAACTGGAACAACCTAACTATGCATCGCTATTTTTGTTGGAACATGTCTCTAGATGGTCCTTCATATCTCAAGGGTTGTAACCTTATACTCTTTCTACTACTTCATCAACATATGTCAAGAAATTAGTTGAGGGACCAACCCATTCAAAAATTATAAAAGTTTCGTAGAATTAGTGATGAAAGTATTGTACAGTTTACGTTTGATTTTGTCATGAAAAATCATTTGCTTTTATTTATTTATTGACCAATTATGCTTATACTTTGTTTTATCCGTTCTTTGCTGTTTTGTTTTACTGTTAGGGTGCAAGTTATTGATTTTCCCTAATATAAGATGTAGCTATTTTTTTCAGCAATAGTATAGGTAGCGTCTGTTGCTGTTCTTGTGTAAATACTAAAATTTGACCAAAATACTTGTTATACATTTTTAACGAAGGAGGATAATCTTCGTAATTTTCGAGCTGCTGTAGAACGAAAGCACTGCCAGAAAGTTTAACGATGTACTGGCAACGGAAAACGATAACGAGAAGTGACAGTTGTGTGGGAGAAAATGTTAGAAATTCCGGCCATCGTTTAAACAATTCTCCTAATTATTCAACATTAAATTCGCTACCTTTCACGATATCGTTGAGAAACGTGACGTTGAAACAAAGAAAATTTATTTCTTTGACTGATTTCAATTGAGTTCAAGCAGGCGCTTCCCTCAAATAAAAAACGTTAAACTTTTGACCAGCAATGCACCAAAACCGCCAGATATCAATCGTGTTTTGAGCATATTGGATCATTTCTGTACACCATTAGTAGTTTTTATAAATCGGAAGTAAAGTTTTCAGCAGTATATTGTCATTATTTACAATATTACGACAGATTTGTGTTTAGAAGCTATTCGGTTGGAATTTATTTTATTTTAGTTTTTAGCGGGGAGGTATTTCCCCCTGAATCCTTATTGAATTCTTTGAGTTGCTTGTAGACATCTACACAATGGATTTTATAATCGTATGTTTAAAGTTAATAGACTACCACGTCTTCAGCTTAAGGTTCGGTCAAACAGGACGCAGATTGGCCGCGCGGACAGGACGACCGTAGTTTATTGCGAAGCAGTATAGTCAAAATACAAACAAAACTGGAGAATACAAACTGCAATTGATTCTTTTTGAACACATGTTTATTTTTTTGTCAGTTTAATATGTCGAGCGATTTTTCTGGTACAGGATAAATTTTATTTTATTCGTCTTCGGTCAAGAACGACCGAAAAATTAAATGGAAGCTTGACATAAACAAGAAACTTGAAATTTTCTTCTTAAGATATTTCTGAAAACAGTTTAATAAGGCACTCATGTTACGCACTCTATTTCACCTCTAGTGCGTTCATTTCACTTTTACCATTGGGCAATTCTTCGGATCGGCTAAATAATCGCACGGTGGAAAAACCTCTCGTGCGCGCCAGCCCTTATACACAGGGTTTGTCCGGAAAGTAATAGGACTGATTTCCTTCCGCCGCGACTGTACTTCGGAGCGTGCGCGCACCGACTGGATTCGGTAGAGGGCATTCTTAGCTAACGTACGAGCACCTGGAGAGTCATAACAGGCTTTTTCGCGCGACGTGTTTCTATGAGCGGTGCAAGCCGAAAATGCAGCGTTCTCAATAAATTTTTTTAAATCGACTCAGTCCTGTTACTTTCCGGACAAACCCTGTACATCTACGATGAGTTCTGCACGAATATATTTAAAAGATTAGGGGTGTTTTGAAAATTGAAAATTCCCTAATCTTTTAACAAAATATAAAATCACTACCTAAGGTAAAGCGTCTACTTTGTTTTTGCCTCTAGATCCTAAGAAAGGTACGAATTCTTTTATAATTGACAAACTGAATTAGAAAAACAAAGGAAAGAGAAGGAACAGGAAAATTTACTCTTTCGTGAATAAATAAGCCCTAAAGTTTGATGCGAGATTAATTGGCTACCATTTCGGTACTGTCTATTTCCAGAGAAAGTTTGAATGGTTAACAACCACTGTAAATAATACATATTTACTCACGTCAGTAGACAGAAAGCACTTAACCATAATCGTAATTTGTATCACAATTGTCAGTTTATACGCCAAGTGCATATCAAACCTAGACGCCTCTTAGACAATATGTTGATAAGTGTATATTAAGTTTCCATTTTCTTTTGTTGAATTACATAATTAAATAATGTTGTAAATATGAAAAATGGTGTTATTCTTAACATACATATACATTGCATATGTAATAGGTCAATTGAAAAGTCCCCGGCCTGACACATAGATGGCGGCACCAGAACTAAATCCATATGATTTTCAGTTAGTCCGATCCTTCAAAAGACGCGTCTATAAATTTGACGGCTGTCGGATCATTAGTTTGTGAATTATAGCATTTTTAGTGAAGCAACTTTTGTTATTGTGAAAAAAATGGATAAAAAAGAATTTCGCGTGTTGATAAAATATTGCAAAAACTTGGCTTGATAACGAATTTTCGGACACTGCCCCAGGAAAATCAGCCATCAAGGATTGGTATGCTATGTTTAGACGTGGTGAAATGAGCACCGAAGACGGTGAACGCAGTGGACGCCCAAAAGAGGCTGTTACGGACGAAAACATTAAAAAAATCCACAAAATGATTTTGAATGACCGTAAATTGAAATTGAATGAAATAGCAGACACTCTACAGATATCAACGGAACGTATACATCACATCATTCACGAATATTTGGGTATGAGAAAGCTCTGTGCAAAGTGGGTGCCGCGCGAGCTCACTTTTGACCAAAAACAACGACGAGTTGATGATTCAGAGTAGTGTTTGAAGATGATCACGCGTAATAAACCCGAGTTTTTGCGTCGATATGTGACAATGGATGAAACATGGCTCCATCATTTCACTCCGAAGTCCAATCGACAGTCATCGGAGTGGACTGCACACGATGAACCCGCTCCAAAGCGTGCAAAAACCCAACAGTCGGCTGGCAAGGTTATGGCGTCTGTATTTTGGGATGCGCGTGGAATAATTTTCATTGACTACCATGAAAAAGAAAGGACCATCAACAGCGACTATTACATAGCGTTATTGGACCGTTTGAAGGACGAAATCGCCGAGAAACGACCGCATTTGCAGAAAAAGAAAGTCCTGCTTCACCAAGACAATGCACCGTCTCACAAGTCAGTGAAAACGATGGCTAAAATTCATCAATTGGGCTTCGAATTGCTTCCGCATCCACCGTATTCTCCAGATCTGGCCCCCAGCGACTACTTCCTGTTCTCAGATCTCAAAAGAATGCTCGTTGGGAAAAAATTTTCGTCGAATGAAGAGGTGATCGCCGAAACTGAGGCCTATTTTGAAGCAAAGGACAAATCGTACTACAAAAATGGTATCGACAAGTTGGAGGATCGCTATAATCAGTGTATCACCCTTGAAGGGAATTATGTTGAATAAAAAAAACGAATTTTGCAAAAAAAATGTGTTTTACTATTTTAGGCCGGGGACTTTTCAATTGACCTGATATATAAGTTCATAATTTGTTCAATAATCAAAAGGAACTGTTTGAAAGCTTCTGTTTAGACATGTTTCAATGTTAACTGTTTTTTCATTTATTTGTCTCCAGCGAACTGGCGAATCGATGAAAAATTTATGTTTTGGCCCAAACGACTGAAATTTTTCCCTCAGGGGTGGTCTCCGTAAATAGCACCTCCATGCAGATGTTTAAAAATATAATATTCAAATTCCGTGTCTATTATGCCAGCTTTTAAACAACAAATCGATTTCCGAAATCACGTTTCCTTTTTTAAGTAAATTTATTATTGTGATTTGGAATTTTGTTCGGGAAAAATTGATTCTTTAATGTATTCCGCACATTTGCATCAATTTGCTTGGCAGACAATTCCTTCCAGAAATGATGAGATTATCACCAGGGGATATTGAATTTTGCCGGAATTGTCTTTTCATTCTTCTTGTTCTGTTTATTTTATCGCAATGATTTTTTACGTTAGTATATATTTACGTCATTCCCGCTAACATTCCTACAAAAAAAGGTATTCGTATAGAAGACACTGTGTATTCTTAACGAAAGTAAATGGCCAAATGATAAACCACTAAATCCCTGGCAAGGCTCTCTGTTCGTTGTAACCTTAAGGCCAATTTAACTTTCGCGTCGAAAACTTCCAATCTCTTTTCGCTTACACTTTCCTTTATTGGAAAAGTATTCCTGCGGGAATCCACCGCGAAAAAAGTAGAGTAGTTGTTAAGTTTTAATTTCCGAAACGAGATAGCTTTATCGACGATTTTTGCTTCAACCTTAAATGTCATAGTAATATCCACGAAAAAGCCGAATAACTTTTTGTAGCTCGGAGCATTGAATACATATCTAAAGATCATCACAGGTTCACGGTCCTTCTATTGGATCAAAATTGATTGTTGAACCGCAAAATTGTGGATTTAAAAGGGATTCTTTTGCACTATTCAAAATATTGTAGCTATTAGTCTTTTCGTTACAAAAATTGTCATTAGTCGATACTTGGCTCAATAAAAGTAAATGATATCAGTGAAATTTTTGGAAATACAAAATTTAATGGACCATAATAATGCATCTCAAAGTTAGTAAAACACATCCGAAACACCTTAGGATTATAAATAAATATGGCGTTTCACTGATTCTCTATCGTTCAAGTGCATACACCTACTAGGGTCCTAGGTAAATGGTTACAACATATAATAAAAACTTGAAAATATTAAGGAAAATACATTAAAAAAAATCGACGTGTAATTATACAACACGCTACTGAAGTGAAACTTCTTCAAACACACAAAAATACCGGGATAGGGGTTAAGGAGTTGGTTTAATGGTATTATTTGTACACTATGCTTCGCACGGGTGCAATGCTGATAGTAAATATACTATAGAATGTCTTTATATACAACAATCACAGCTTTTTTGTCATTAGACAATACAAACCGGCCGGTACCGCCGCAATTGCTATGTCCCTGCATCTTAAGTTTGTAATATCTTCGAAAATATTCATTTAAATTACATGCATATATATTATTTTGATCCATCTCGTAGAGTTTAGCGAGCGTTTGCAATGTAAACGCAAAAAAATGAGTTTATTTACGACATCACATTAGAAACCTCTAAAATTATCAGTGTTTCTCTACTATATTATGCATGTATTATACATACAAACCTTCCTCTTGAATTACTCTATCTGTTAAAAAAAGCGCATTAAAATCCGTTGCGTGGTTTTAAAGATCTAAGCATCCATAGGGACAGAAAGCGGGGGAAATGCGTTGCATGATTTCGTTACATAGCAACTCGCATGAAACGAACTTACCCTACCGTGGGTAAAGAAGTTTCACTTCAAAAAATACAAATCGATATTGTATATCAGTCTCATAACTTTTCTAAATATCATTAGATCATTACTTAGATGTTCTGTGAGCATCACAGTAAATAGCAATTTCTTTCATTTACCTTATATTTAGTTTGCACTTCCCTTATGAAGCCGTACCTAAAGAGAAAGACAATAATCAGTCGGGATTTCCTGATTGGTTCGTTTCGTATTTTTCGTTAAATACCTTGTGTTCATAATGTGGTCCTCGTGATTACCACGGTTGAGAAAAACTCCACCGGGAAACACTAGCATACATGCCAGCAAGAGCAATAACACTTCCAGACCCTTCTTACCTCTATCTACGAAATCGCCATTGAACACGTACGGATTTTCTGGCGATGGAAGTCCATTCTGAAACAAAAGACAATAAATTGAAAGCTTTAATTGAACAACAGTGGTATCTTGTAGATAAGAAAAATTCTCGGGCTGTATAAGTAGTAGAGACTCATACAGATTCTGAAATTTTAGTTAAGGAGTGTACGTCTAGCTCATATGAAATACAACGTAAATTTCATTGCAGCTACGTTCGGCAATGGAACAATTTTATGGCTGTGAATGAAAATTTTGTATTAAATATGCAATTAAATGTTGTGACCCACTTGTCTACAGAAAAATATTCTATGGATCGAGAAGAGTCCTACTGGTTTTACTTCCTAAATAAACAAAAAACACTAAACACATCCTGTTACAGCTACCTTCGTACTTCTGTAAATTTTTCTTATCGTTAAGGAGAAGAGACTGCCTTAAAATTCCAACCTCCACACCGTCACACTTGACGCAGCGAAAAGCATTTGAATGCATTTGAGCATCCTACCTACAGTTCAGATTTGTCTCCTCGTGACTACCAAATGTTTGAACCACGCAGGGAATAAGCAAACGGTCAGTAATCGAAGGCTGAAGAACAAACGAAGGTGTACGTCTAGAACTGGGTCATTTTTATTAGAAATAAGCGTCACACAACCTCCATCTTGATTATAAAAGCGGTAACCATAGCAGGTCTCATAAGAACAATATTCTGAAGTTGTTAATGTCTATTTATACTGGTATTTACTTGATACGAATTCGACATTATTTTTTATTTCGACATAAAACGACAACCGAATTTGTAAAATAGATTGACTGATAAAAAGGACATTCTGAAATAGCGACGTGGGAGTTTTAGCATGATATGAATATCCTTCACCCCGTTATCCCATTTCTATTTCTTAAAAAGCGAATATCGAACTCCGACGAATGTCTTTTATGTCTTTGCTTTGACAGCCGCCTTACTTACATCAAAATAAAGCTTCAATTTAATAAATATTCGGAAGGATGTCCGCTACATGAAAACAATTTTTTCAAGGAAACGGAAATTTACGATTCACGTAAAATATTGGTGATATTTCCATAAAATAACTTCAGATGTAATTTTAAATGTGTTTAGCAAGGGATTTGTGTGGCACAGTAATTATTAAGAAAGGGATATTTTGTTTTGGACTTTATCTGTGTCAAAAGCTGACAGAATCTATGAATCTACAGTCCATTTCAATTTGTTAGAATTGTAACCTTGAAGAAATCTGCGCGAAGATAGAAAGAATACACACTAGGCGTGAGCAAGACAGAAATAGTCGGAACAAGCTTGAACGAGCAGAGCTCTCTATGGGCGGTCTTAAGAGATCTGTTAGAACTGTACAGTACTACACGAAAATGTTTAGCAATTTCTTAAAACAAAAATGTATATAAATTAAGAATAGAAAACAAAGCAAAAGTTTTATAGGTGTGTAGAAGGTTAGGTTAATTCACTTGTTATTATTTTTAGCTAAATACGCTTTTAAATTAAGCATATTTTTAAATTTTAACGAGGTAGTTTAAATAATTTTGCAAATGGTACTGTACACTTTTGTCTAGTTCTCGCTCGATGATCGGTGGTGCTGCTAGTTTGATTATAAAACATTTAAATTAAAACAAAGATTTAAATACTAAAGAATAATGGAATTGCTAGTTCGATTTAAAACAATACCTACATTTGAAACGATTTTATTATACAACGAACTGCGATGATTAACATATAAATAAATTTTATATATTAGCTTACTGATCAGAGCATTGGTGCGTAAAGCCAAAAGTCCCGGGTTCGATTCCCGGTGAGGGTGAGTCAACAGCAACAATTTTCCTTTAATTTGAGATAATTTGTAATGGGAAAATTAAAAATAAAATATCAGTTTTCATTAATAAATAAATTTTGTCTACATTAATACACAAAAAGATTGTCAACATTACCAATGTTTATAATATCTTATGTACCTATACCATGATATACATAAGTGTTAATATTAACTAAATCAATAGCTGTAATAATTTATGGCATTCCGATCTCTATATAAGAATATCCTGATAGGATATATTTTGTTATCCGATCTTTCAACTGACACTCACTGCTATCACCAAAACCTATTTATAGGAGACATCAGAATCGAAATTTGATATGATATAGAATGCCATATAGCACAAGTAAAAGAAATACCCGTAAATTTTATTAGTTTGCAGTTCAGAGAAAATATTACATGACAAACCAATTCGTTTTTCGGTTTTATTTTTAAACAAAAATCATTGTGGAGTCGTTTGTACATTCAAGACGAAAGTGAAATGAAAGCTGAAAGCTTCAAGCTTCAAACATTAATTTGCGAATTGAAGTTTTTGGTGCGTGGTCCGCATAAAGAAACTTCCAAATTGTTATGCCCTTACAAAGAATTAAAAAATACCACAAATTAAAAGAAGCGCTTTCGGTAATCGGATAATTCAATTCTGATGTTCGTTTAATTTTTCTTGGTTTCAACTTTCGGTTGCTTTTTCTTAAACTAACTTCAATTCCACCGTATCTGAATGAACGTAGGCGTAGCGCAATTAAACTTTGCTCTTTGAAGTTGAAAATCTGCTGCTACTTCACCTGAGTTATGCACACCGCAAGCCTTTTTCGCAGTGGGAACATATGAACTCCAATCGTAATTGAATTATCCAAACTCTTCACAACCTTTCATATTATGAAATTACTGATAATGAAATTGCTATTCCTTGGATCACTTTTGGTAGGTTTAGGTATTGTTAATTTCAATTGTTCGTTAATTCTAATTTTTAATATTCATCTTGTTTGGCCAATATAACCAAGTTTTATTAATACACAAAGTTATAAATTTTCACCAGGCAAATGCCGATTTCATCATGCAAATAAAGACGAATTGCTTCAAGTTATTGTAAATATACTCAAGTAAATATTATTCATTTGTTCAAGTTCTAATGCGAATACGAAAATAGCTATTTTAGAAACAAAAATCCATGTTGAAGAACATGCCAATCTCTTTCTTTCTAAGAAGGAAAAGAATAATGTATTTCATTAAAATACCTGCGGGAAGTGAATACGAAAATAAGAAATATTACTTAGGACAGTGGAGTGATAAAGTATATTTGCATGAATGAACCACAACTCGCTCTGTCAATGTAATTTTTTACTGCGTCTATCCAGGCCTTTATTTCGGGATCACTATGTTTTCGCTCTTCTTCTGTTTTTTTTTTTGTTGTTTTAAAGTGGATAACCTGATTTTCTCGCATCGGCATTCGAAAGGAAAAGTATTCGGTTTCTGCTCTTACATTACTTTACATATATAAAAAAGGTAATTTCTTACCTCTGCAAGTTTGGGCATTGCTTACGTCGTATTTTGGCAATATTTATTCAACTGTTCAACCTTTCCGAAATGGCTAAATAATATATCCAACAATAATAATAACAACGAAGCAAAAAGGAACAGGCACATAAAAATGATTACATTATGAATCTAAAACGGCAAAATCTAGAGCTAGAGGTCCTAACCTATGGAAGAAATACACCAGCTATAGCGTCCAACTGACTCTTATTTATCCGCAAAGAATTTAAATGTAATTTCTATATTTTATTTGTACGAAAACTTTGTGACAGAACTCTATATTTTGCCGTGTAATTATCCTTCAATCCTGCAGTGTTCCCAGCACTTTCGGAAATCAGCTAGGTTTTTATTGGATGAAGGCAATCTGAGCCCAATCAAACCTCTTTAACCTTTCAATAACAATATCAGATGTCTAATGATAATTAATCTTTAATAGTTCATGGAAAAGGTCTGCTTAATTAGGTTAAGTTACGGAAATTTGTCTCAGATTTTACTTGGAATCAATTAGGAAGGCCTTTAAGAAACAAAGCACCCCCTCGTGGACGTTAAGCAATGCCTGGAAATTTTCGTAAGTGGTTCCACTCTAAAGCGTAACTTTATCTTTCATAATTTTAGAAAACGATCTTTCAATATATATTGTTTTTAATTTCCTCTTTGAACACTACAAACTACTGTGAATGTTTTGATACCAGCAATCATTGTCAGTGTTTAGTTAATGTACTTGAATTCGTTAGGTTGTGTCAATCAAACATTAACGTTAACGAATCTGAAGTCAATAAGCGCCAAACAAAACTAATGTCAAACGTATTTGTATATTTGTAGAACAAGTTAATGATTTATGCAAACGAAGCAATGCTGACATGTCGAATCAGCATTAACTATATTTACAAAGCTTAATTTCATAGTAAACACACTGCTCGGTGAATTTCCACAGTGTAGGGTAAGTATAAGCATGGACTCAATCAGAGGATAATAAGGATACACCTATGTTCATTAGTTAATAGGGCTGAGTAGTTGATTACGTATTTTGACTTTCACTTCGTATTCAAGAAAGCTGTTATGTAGGCAACATTTTTTACAATGGAGTAAAAGTTTATTGAGACATACAAGACGTTGCTGGAGGGGGCTGTGATGTGGAACAGAAGAGGGTGATAGAAAATTGATTTTGCAAGGCTCATTCACAAAATAACAACTGCTCAACAGTGGATTTAACTAAAATAATTTTTCAGGTATTCAACTATTCGATTCTATTCGTGTTCACACAACCCTAGCTTTTTACGAAATCCTACAAACGATGCGATAAACTCCATCTGTAGTACAATGCTAAATTTAGTGGAATGCAATATGTTCAAAAACTCCATGTACATATAGTTTGGACGTTCAAAATTGTTATAGTCCGCAATAAAACTCTCGCATTTACTTTCTTCTTCTTCAAGTGAAGACGTTTGTTTAAAGATCTGATCTTTTCCATACCTAAGAAACCTTTAGCTGCTACACCGCTTATTGTTATTCTATATCCTACAAATGACGCGGAAAACGCCATCTGTAGTACAACGCTATATTTAGTGGAATTCAATATGCTCAACAAATCATTTGTAGGATTTCATAAAACGCGCTGTATTAAAGCTCCAGGTAGAGTTGGTCTGTGTCCTCTCGAAACTGTGACGCGCTGAT